GAGAGAGAGAACGAGAGACGAGAAGAGAGAGAGAGAAGAGAGAGAGAAAGAGCGAGAGGACGGGGAGAGAGAGAAGAAGAGAGAGAGAGAGAGAGGGAGGAGAGAGAGTTGTATGAAAGATGAGAGAGAGAGAGAGAGAGAGAGAGAGAAAGATGATGAGAGATGGAGAGAGAAAGAGAGAGAAGAGACAGCGATATGAGAGATCTTAAGAGAGGGAGAAAGGAGGGCTGATACGAAAAGATTGCGTGCGGCCATGGAACGGTGAGAGAGGCGAAAAAAGATCGTCGCGCGCGCGAAACCAAGTGAGCGAGCGAGAAAGAGGTAGGAGATCGCGAGCGAGAGAAGAAAGTCGATTAACGGAATGCGAAAAAGTGAGACGGAGGAAGAGGAAGGGGAGGAAGGGAGGAGCGAGAGAGGGAGATGAGAGAGAGAGAGAGAGAGAGAGAGAGAGATAGAAGGGAGAGAGATGGCACAAAGAGAAAGAGAGAGAGAGGAGAGAGACCATAGAGCAGGGGCGTGAATCGTAGAAGTACTTGTACATGCCTACATTCACCGACTTATTTGCCCAGCGCACTCTTCGCCTCCTTATTGCCCCGAGGTGTGACAACGCTGCTGACGATGGCACGCAGGCGTCTGGCATCAAACTCAAAGCTTGCGCCGGCCTGTCTTTTACACGAAGCGATCGATCACGTTGGATTGGCGTCATGTCTGACATTCATTTTCGGCGCGCTTGCTAGCAGTTCGCTCTCGTTAACTACGCGGCGAGGCCGCGACAGCCCCAGGCAAGAGGAAGAAACCGCCCTCTAGCGGCGATTGGACCTTTATCCGCGACAGCGAGCGGTCGGCCGGACGACTGATGAACGACGGTGCGGAGTTGGAGATTGATCCGCCGCGTGAGGCCGATGTCAGGAGCAGCCGAGGAAGGCGACGAACTCACAGTCACCCGGTGGATGTGAGCGCGCCAACGCACGCACGCACCCGCACGCGCAGGCGCCAGGCAGCGCACGCGACGCACTTCGCAGCACACACACACCACCACCGACGCCAGGCACAGTCCACGACCACACACAAGACGCACCACACCCACACACACACAACACCCTTCAGGGCGCAGCGCGGCCCTCGGGCGCGGACACGCCCACATCGACACGCACGCATGCACACACACACACACACACACACACACACACACACACACACACACACACACACACCACACACACACCACATAAACACACGACACACACATACACACAACACAACCACACACACACACACACACACACACTGCACACGCACACGCACACATCACGCGCGCAGGGGCAGTACGATATTTCTTATGAGTGATCGTTATGCGTACGTCATCGTATCTGACATTAACCTCCCTGTGACGTTAACGTCGCTCCTACGTTTCTCGTCTTCTCCGCACAGAAGTCGTTCTTCAACAACGACTCGACGTTCGGCAAGCACCAGGAAGCCGGCTACGACAGCAGCGACCTGCACATCGACCCGGCGGCGCGGTTACGCAACATGCACGGCGAGTTCCCGCGCTGCTGCAGCTCCTTCCTCTCCCGCTACCAGGACAGATCGAAGCGCATCGACGTCATGTCGCGCATCATGTTTCCGACGGGCTTCTGCCTCTTCAACATCGCCTACTGGGCCGGCTACCTGTTACCTTACAAGGGACCGCCGCTACCCGGCAAGTGATGGCAGCCGATGATGACGTCATGCCGGGCGGGCGTCTGCCGCCGGCAGCGGAGTGTTGGCCAAGCATTGATCGGTTTTAATCTCACAGAGAACATACGGGCAGAGAGAGGTTCATATGACAGTCGTGCATACACACATACACCTCAACGACACGCACGCACGCACGCACGCACGCACGCACGCACACACGCGCGCACCACCGCGCTCACACTAATGCGCGCACATGGACAAACAGACATACATAAGCACGCACGCACCCAAGCGCACGCACGCTCACGCACACTCACACACAATATAGCCAAACAATTACACAACGAAAATAAGCATGAGCTGTTGATGTTTTATCATAAGCATATATATATATATATATAAATAAATAAATATATATATATAAGTAAAAGCTCACGGACACCCATGAAGAGATAAGATAAATTTAAAAATAGAAATAGCTGTCAATAAAACTGCGTAATAAAATTTTGACACCTATTTCAGAATCCGCAGCCAAACTGGCGCTCGCAATACAAAAGTTTACATTCACGGACTTTGCACAATTATTTTGTTCGTGTGTAGCGTGTGCTACTACTATAGACGGAGCCGCCGTCGTTAGCGGTAGAATCAAACCAAAGCGGAACAACGTCACGTAATGCATACACGACTACAATGTTTAACGTTTTACTTTATCGTTGCCACTGCTGCCGATACGATTCGAAATTATTTCGAGGCGCTTAAGTTGATTGCTGCAAATATACGGTTGCATATATCCGGCGCCATCTTGAATCGATCTTTATCTAATACGCTGACGAAACTCACACGATGTATTCTATGCGGTATATAATATAGCAGTGCACGAAACTGCGTGTGGAATTTGTCATGTTAGGTAAGTTTCTTCATGTAAAAATTATAAAAAATTTAATGTCTGTATTTAGGAGGCTCTGTATAGCATGAGTAGACCGCAAGCTATCTAGCATGTTGTAATTAATCGTAACTTCACCTTATAACCACATAATTCATTCAAACCTATTCCGGTTGGTGCTAGAGCTGGTTTGATACTCTAACTACTATACACTACTTATACGCTGTGTGCTAATGTCGTCGTGCATCCGATAAGCATTTGGATGTATTTAGTTTTAAGCGTCTTTTAATTTCAAACTTCTCAAGTATGAAATAATATCTTCTTCGAAATAATGTTTAGCAAAAATATAGGAGGCTGAGAAAAGGATAAGAGACATGTCTAATGAACTCATTATCATTGTTACAGGGATGTATTATTTATTGTACCATTGCCTAGTAGTTGTGGCGATTCATGGTGGTATGCAGTCTACGTGGGCATGCTAACTATAATCCAGGCAGTTGCGAGTTTTAAGAGCATGATACCTTTAATTATAGTCCAGATAGCTGTAGGTTAATGGGGGAATAATAACTACAATCTCCATACAGCTGTACCGGGGAAAGTTACCTATGTAATCTAAGAAGTTGTAACTTCAACGGAGAATGTTACTTTTGCAGTCCAAGAAGATGTAGCGCCATCTGGGAAAATTAACCATATATTTCTGCTAACTGTGACGATTAATTTATAATAATCATCCCTCAGTATGCAGCGCACGATGACGTCATCTTTATAAATTAACAACGTGCATTGTATTGCAATGAAATTGCTTGTGAAGTCTGTCAAACAACAGGAATGCAGTGTTCTGCCCGAGACACTGAGAGAACGCTTGACGCGTGTTTGCTTGTTCACTACATTGCCCATTTAATGGCACGTTTTTTGCTGCACATGATACATACATGTAGATACACCGACGAAAGTGTAACATATATTTATGTAAATTGTTTATATATTTATAGGTTGATTAAAGAAAGGTATGTGTAAATATCAGCAAATATTTGGTAATTAACAGTTACAATTATTACTATGTAATTATAATTGTTAATTATAAACGTTGCGTGTCTGAGCGAACAGACGTGTAGACATAATCATATTATACTCATAAATGCCTGGTTTTGATTCTAACTTATGAGGTAAGAATACCGAGGTGTCGATATACTCAAGAAGGAGGCTGATGTGCCTCCAGTCGCTAGGGAAAGTCAACATAGGATTTGTTCCTGTAAAAGCTGTATCACACATATATGTATATATATATATATATGCCAAAGGAAAACCTTCCCTTGGATGGCGGCGATCGTGGTAATATGCCTTTACGGGCCGTTCTTCTTACACTAATTTCATATTTTTTACTATCGACCTTATACGAGGTTTACACACATGCGCGCTCACGCGTCTGTACGCGTGAAACGGT